TGACTATTCGTATTGTACGGCGGGTTGTTGACGTGTCCGGGGAGGTCCGGGGCGTGACAATTAAGTTGGTATCAGAGCCTTAGTCCGTAAACTTCATAATAAAGTCTCAAAATCCTCTTTTTGAAAAGATTTTGAAAACCATGAGCATAGAAGTTTTGTACTTGGAGAGCTTTTGGTACTTGGGTTGCAAGGTCTCTAATTGTTAAGATGGTACCCTTAGCAATTGGTATGGCGGTGACTTGAGCCAAAATGTGTCTTAAGTACCTATCCGTCAATTGACATTTGATACGAGTCTAACGACTCTTTCCAAATTTCTTTCAGAAATGGACCGTGGTGGCAAGGTAACTAGGAGGAACCCTTTGGGCCGTGCACCCGAGGAGACTGGGCAAGGCAGTCGTAGGACCTCTAGGGCATCTAGAGGAGCGGGCCGTGGAGGCCAATCACGGACCGTGAGTGACGGTCATGTGAGCACCGAAAGTGACAGCTACTGGTCCTATGAGGACTCGACCTATCGGCCGGAAACAGAGCCGGTTGAAACCCCTTATGAAGGGGATGATGATGATGTAAGTGATGAGGAGGACAACGGCTCCTTAGCGCGGATTGAGGCACTACTCCAACAATATCACCGTGAGCGTGAAGAGAGGAGGGAACGCCGAAGGTGCCGGGCTGGGCAACCTTCGGGCATGGCTTCACGAGGAGGAAGTCATGGTGCATCTAGAGTCCATGTGGAACCACGTGGAGGCCAAAATGATGGAGGTCCAACCATAAGGATCTCCAAATACATCAAAGAAGCAAGAGATTTGGGGTGCAAACCCTTTGATGGAGCAGGGGATATTTCAGTGGCAGCACAATGGATCAAGAGGCTAAATGAAGCGGCCCTTGACATGCAAATCGCGCCGAATCTCAAACTGAGAATTGCGGTAAGATTGCTCGAGGGGATGGCATCCAAGTGGTGGGATGGAACCAAGAACAAGTACGGTGAGACCGTCGTTTGGGAGGACTTCCAACGGGAGTTCTTTGCCCAATACTATTCTGATTTCGAGGTGAATAAGAAGGTGAGGGAATACACCCTCCTAACCCAAGGGGGTAACATGTCAGTGAAGGAGCTTGAGTACAAGTTCCGGGATCTCGCCGACTACATACCGGAGTATGCTTGTGACGAGAACCGCATGGTGAACCACTTTTGGGACGCTCTTGACTTGGAGATACGTGATAGGGCAACGCAATTGCCTAATATGACTTTCGCCCAAGTGGTTGAACAAGCATTGAAAGGGGAGAAACAGTGGGAGGAACGGAAGAAGAGAGACGCCGAAGAGGCGAAAAAGAGAAAATGGGAGAGTCATGGCTCCCAAGGTTCCAACAAAAGGGGAAACCACGGAGGAGGATCTTTCCGGGCACCACCGCCACCATCAAGGGGGAACCAAGGCCCAAGTGGGCAAGGCTCGAGGTCACAGACCTCAGTGGTAACTCGTTGCAACAATTGCAAGAGGAACCATTCCGGTAAATGTCGCGACCCCCCTAGATGTTTCCAATGTGGGGATGCCGGGCATTTGAAGGCACATTGCCCACAACTGGGCGGGGCAAGGACATCGGGACCAAGTAGTGGCCCGACGGGTACACGGAATCAGACCAGGGCTTCTCAAGCAAGCAGGGGGCAAGGGGGAGCAAGTGCGAGCAACACGCCATCCGTGAACCAAGGGAGGACCCAGGCTAGGGTCTATGCGATGACGGAGGCGGATGCTCAAGCTAACCCGGAGTCCGTCGCAGGTATTGCCTCTCATATACTAGTGTTTTATCCTTAATTAGTCCATAAATTGAGGATACTAATCGCTAGGATCATTGCACGAGGTTTTGGGGTCGAACCGGGGGATTTCGGGCAACTTCAGGCGGCTGGGACCCAGGCACGATCGTGCCTAAGGCAGACACGATCGTGCCTCCAAGTCAGTAGCTGCCCAGGAATATTCCCAGCCCAGGCACGATCGTGCCTAAGGCAGACACGATCGTGCCTACAAGGCAGTAGCTGCCCAGGGCTTTTCTCCAAACCAGGCACGATCGTGCCTAAGGCAGACACGATCGTGCCTCCAAGTCAGTGGTTCCCAGGATTTTTCCAACCCAGGCACGATCGTGCCTAAGGCAGACACGATCGTGCCTCCAAGGCAGTAGCCCCAGGGCGTTTTCCTGAGCCAGGCACGATCGTGCCTACCCCGGGCACGCCGTGCCTGGCACCCAGATTGCCGAAACCCGATTTTTTCGCATCGTTTTGCAACGTTAAGGCCTCTTCTTGATCCCTAACGTGCGTGTGAACATTGCAACCTTCTATAAATGAGTAGGGAGGATAGGAAAGATGTCTTACATGGTTCATGAATGTAGGGACACTAAAGATTAACGGGAAGGATGCACGAATCCTTATCGATACCGGAGCGCAACGTTCATTCGTGAGTGAGGCATTTGCCGAGAGCTTAGAGATGCAATCAATACCAATGACACAAACCTTAGTGGTATCAACCCCACTAGGGGAAGACGTTGAAAGAAACAATTACTATCCATCTTGTATGGTGGAAATCGGTGGCCAAACCTTGACGTGTGATTTCGTACCGCTGAGTATGATGGAGTTTGATGCAATCCTAGGGATGGATTGGCTAGAAAAGCATCATGCTAGGGTAGATTGCTACACAAAGGTGTTGGAACTCGAAGGCACACATGGGGACACCCTACGCTTCGAGGGGGACCGCGGCAAATCAAATAGTTGTATCATATCCGCCGTGAGAGCGAGAAATATGATGAGGAAGGGATGCCACGCATATCTAGCATACGTGGTTGACAAAACCAAAGAGGAAACGAATATCGATGATGTGAGGGTGGTTTGTAAGTATCCGGATGTCTTCCCTAAAGACCTACCGGGGCTTCCACCTGACAGAGAGATTGAATTTGTGATCGAGGTCGAGCCTGGTACCAAACCAATCTCCATACCGCCATACCGGATGGCACCCGCTGAACTTAACGAGTTGAAAACCCAATTGCAAGAGCTTTTGGATAACGGTTTCATTAGACCAAGCCACTCCCCGTGGGGAGCACCGGTTCTTTTTGTGAAAAAGAAAGATGGGACACTTCAAATGTGCATTGACTATCGTCAACTGAACAAGGTCACAATCAAGAATAGGTATCCGTTGCCTAGGATTGATGACTTGTTTGATCAACTACGAGGAGCAACCGTGTTTTCAAAGATTGATTTGAGGTCGGGTTACCATCAATTGAAGATTAAGGAAGACGACATACCAAAAAGTGCTTTCCGCACAAGGTATGGGCATTTTGAGTTCCTTGTTATGTCGTTTGGGTTAACAAACGCCCCAGCGGCATTCATGGACTTGATGAACCGAGTATTCCATCAATACTTGGATCGATTCGTGATTGTGTTCATAGATGACATTTTGATTTACTCAAAGAGTGAGGAAGAGCATGAAGAACACTTGATACTCGTTCTTGAGACACTACGGGAGAAGCAACTTTATGCCAAATTTTCTAAATGTGAATTTTGGCTAAAGGAGATTGGCTTCCTCGGGCACGTGGTTTCTGGATCGGGAATTGCTGTTGATAACAAGAAGATAGAAGCCATTACCGAATGGGAGAGGCCAAAGAACGTCAAGGAAATTCGTAGTTTCCTTGGATTGGCAGGCTACTACAGGAAGTTCGTGGAGAAGTTCTCTGTTTTGGCATCACCATTGACGAAGCTCACTCGTAAAGGAGCTAAGTTTGTATGGGATGACAAATGTGAGAAGGGGTTCATGGAACTAAAGAAACGATTGACCGAGGCACCGGTACTTGCATTACCCAAACAGGGTGTGGGGTACGATGTCTATAGCGATGCGAGCATCCAAGGGCTTGGGTGTGTACTGATGCAGAATGGGAGGGTAATCGCCTATGCTTCACGACAGTTGAAGAAGCATGAGGTGAATTATCCCACTCATGATTTGGAGCTGGGGGCAGTGGTGTTTGCACTGAAGATATGGAGACATTATCTCTACGGGGAGACATGTCACATATACACTGATCACAAGAGCTTGAAATATGTGTTTACTCAGAAAGAGCTAAACATGAGACAGAGACGGTGGATGGAGTTGATAAAAGACTACCATCTGGTGATAGAGTATCACCCAGGCAAGGCAAACGTGGTGGCAGATGCTTTGAGCCGGAAGAGCTCGTCTGGGGCATTGATAACTAATTTGAGGGCATTAAGAGCCCAACTGGAGGTAACCAGCGATGGTGCCTTATTGGCACGATTTGAGGTGAGACCCACTTTACTTGATGAGATCAAGAAGGGTCAGGAAGCCGACGAAGAACTTATGAAGGTCCGGGAACGCATGCAAGCGGGGCCGGTGGAGGATTTCAGGGAAAGAGATGATGGTCTCTTGTTATTTCGTGACCGAGTGTGTGTACCGTCAGATGATGAGCTCCGAAAGTCCATCTTAGAGGAGGCTCATTCATCGGCTTATGCCATGCACCCGGGGGGCACGAAAATGTACCGTGATTTGAAGGAAAGTTACTGGTGGTCTGGAATGAAGAGGGAAATAGCCGAGTACATCAGTCGGTGCCTTACTTGTCAACAAGTTAAGGCAGAACGTCAGCACCCAGCAGGCTTATTGCAACCACTCTCCATCCCTGAATGGAAGTGGGAGCACGTGACTATGGATTTCGTGGTAGGCTTACCACGGACTATCAGGAACTATGACGCGGTTTGGGTCGTTGTGGATAGGCTCACAAAGAGTGCACACTTCTTGCCTATCAACACTACCTACCCACTTGAGAGGTTAGCCAAATTGTATACGGATGAGATCGTGAGGCTGCATGGGGTCCCGGTGACCATTGTATCTGATAGAGACCCACGATTCACATCACGTTTTTGGCCGAAATTCCAGGAGTCTATGGGAACGAAGTTGAAGTTCAGCACTGCTTTCCATCCACAGACGGATGGGCAGTCTGAAAGGGTTATACAGATCCTAGAAGACATGCTGAGGGCTTGTGCATTGGAGTTCCAGGGGAGTTGGGACAACCACTTAGCACTTGTGGAGTTTGCCTATAACAACAGTTATCAGGCAAGCATCGGCATGCCTCCATACGAGGCATTGTATGGGAGGAGGTGCCGTACACCGTTATGCTGGGACGAGGTTGGCATGGCCAAACTCGAGGGTACTGAGTTGGTGGAGGTCACCAAATCAAAGGTGAAGTTGATTCGAGAGAGACTCAAGGCGGCTCAGGATAGACAAAAGAGTTATGCAGATAAGCGTCGAAGAACCTTAGAGTTTAAGGTTGATGACGAGGTATTCTTGAAAGTTTCTCCTTGGAAAGGGATCATTCGGTTCCAAACCCGAGGAAAACTTAACCCACGATATATAGGTCCATTCAGAATTATAGAGAGGATTGGGGCCGTTGCATATCGTCTACAATTGACTCCTGAGTTAGAGAAGATACATAATGTGTTTCATGTATCCATGCTTAAGAAGTATGTGCATGATCCCTCTCACGTATTGGAGAAGCCACCTGTAGAGGTACGTGAGGATTTGAACTACTCTGTTCAACCTATCAAGGTCACCGATAGAAAGGTGAAGAAACTGAGGAGCAAGGAAGTCCCAATGGTTAAAGTCTTGTGGAAGAGCGATCGGGTCGAAGAAGAGACATGGGAAACAGAGGCTTTGATGAGGAAGCAGTATGCTTTCCTATTCGAGTAGAGCTGTGAATTTCGGGGACGAAATTCCTGTTAAGGGGGGGTGAACTTGTGACACCGCACCCGAATGTCCTTGGAAATTTGATTTGAATATTCATAGCTTATGTATTGGATTTCCGATTCCCAAACATTTCGTAAAACGATCAATGTTCTACGTAGTGCATGGTTGAATATCGTACTGTTCAAACTCGTACATTAGTGTCGGGTTTCGCAAATACTTACTCGGGACTTATTAATAAATAAAAAAGCCCAACATTACCAAAATAGTGAAAGAATGATTAAAGGAGAATACAAATGTCTATAACCCCATCTTTGGCATTATTGAGCTAAATAATGGGAGTAGGATTTTCCTTCTAAAATATCCATCAAGTAAATTATTGGGATGAACCTACACATATTGGAGATCAATAATGTGATTTAGGAAGTTGACTTGTTCTAAATAAATTAGGATGAGTACAAGAAGACATCTTTGACAAAGATAAAACAATAGGACCCATCTTCCCATTTTTGGAAGTATTGGTAGATATTTTGGACCCCAAATTTAATGGGATCAATTGGGAACCACTCCACATGATATTAGTACCTGCAAAACAAATAAAAATGGGTTATAAGACCTACCTTGGCCGTCCATAATGGAGGGGAGCTGCACATGACTTGATAGGAATCAAAACTTGGGCCACCATCCTTATTTTTCGCACAAATTGGTGTGCTGTTTGTCTCCTCTCATTATAGAAGCTATACTCGACCAAACAACGTGAATAATATGTCCTTGGATAGCCTTTGAAGTCTATTATCTCAATTGAGTGGTCTTTGTTCGAGGAGAGAAGGCTTATCTTACAAAAATCGAGCTGGAACGAGCAGAGGTCTGTGAACTCGAGCTGTGAGAGTGCTGAGACTGTTTGGTCGATATCTCGAGTTTTACAAATCCAATTAAGGCGTGTGAGATACCCACAGAAAGCTCTCAAGACGAGGAATCCGTGAAGGTCTGGTTTGCAGGAATCGGAGTTGTGGAAGGCTTCCAAATCGTCCGAGAAAAACGCAACCTCGCAGGAGAGGATTTAATCCTCTAAAGTGAGTTTTAAACCCCAAAGCTTTACTTTTCATTCTCCAAATGATATGAACGATTGGTGAGACTATTATACACTAATCCAAGTGTATAATATGTCCTTATAAAGTTATTTTATTGATGTAAAGGTTAGATACTAACCTAGATGCAAATATTGGAAAACTAGGAATCGAGTTAGCCGGAAAACACCCGTTCTAGGGGCTGTTTTCGTATCAACGATTAAGGGTTGAACTAGCACTTTGAGGAGGCTGTTTAACACTCATATTTGAGCAAGGAATCAGTTCCAAATCCACCTTGACCAAAGCTTTGACCATTGGACCAAGAAGGGAAAGTTTAAAGCTCAATTGAGGTGAGGATGGACATCTAATTGCTTACAACTTGTAGGTTAAGCATGAGATTACCTAAATGCTTAAATCATGATTTTTCATGGATTATGATGATTATATATTGACGAAATATTGATATAGTTGCCAAGGAATGAAATTTGAAATGATTTGAGAAGGTATGAATAATATGAGATTAAATGAGTATAAATGAACTATTTTGTGAAAATGGGCATTTTGCTCATGTATGAATTATGTGGATACATAAATGAATATTTGTGTATTGAGATTGAATACTTAAGTTGCTGCTACATAATTATAAATATGTAGAGAATTACAAATAATGAGGATAATGGTATGATAACAATAATCTTAATAGTATTGAAATACTAGTTAGTGATTATTGGAACTTGTTGATTAAATTGATCCTAGGGATTGGATTGTATGAAAGGTACTTGAATATAGTTCAAGTGTATATAATAACTTAGTTTGGAACTAAGGTTAAGTTATGGGAAGTCTTTAAGGATGACCCAGGGTAGTTTAATGATATGTCAATTCTAGGCATAGGGTTGCTTGAGAATTGGACCTTAATGCATGGTGATGTAATAGAGCCGAGCTCTAGAATGCATGTAAGGTGTAGACTTGGAGTCTATGTATTGTACAGCTAGAGCCGAGCTCTAGGACTTGCGTGGTGATGTAATAGAGCCGAGCTCTAGAACGCAAGGTAAGGAAATTGACCCAAGGTATATGAATTGTATGGTGATGTAGTAGAGCCGAGCTCTAGAATACAATGTCATGTACTAGGGTTGGACTCTAGGAGTTGTCGTGGCTTATAGCCACGGGGTTGGGAATGGTGATTTCCAAATGAAAACGGGCCCACGGGCCGACTACTTGACTTTTATATAAAGTAAGTATATTTTTAAACGGGGTAACTTAGGGTTACAATCATAATGTACTATCACCCTACTTGAGGGTCCTGTGTTTGAAATACTTGTTGTATATCTATTAGATGCCTGCCACACCAGTACTTTATAGCCGTATAGAGTACTGACCCCCTTCGGGGGCGTCCCACCACCATTTCAGGTTGAGGCTAGAGCTTGCTTCCTGTGCTCGTTGCCCGAGTGATTTCCCCGGAGAGAAGACTTGGTTCGTGCTTCCTCCATTCTGTTTTAGAACATTAACAAACATGCTCATGGATATTTTACTTTAGAGCCTGCGTGCTCGTGTTTGCCCTGTGTGGCCCTTTTGTTTTAAACAATGTTTTCCGCTGCGTATTGAATTGTTTATTATGTATGTTTATGGATGACTTATGTGTGAATGATATTCATGACGCCTTGTATAATATGAATGTGTTGGACTGCGGTTGACTATTCGTATTGTACGGCGGGTTGTTGACGTGTCCGGGGAGGTCCGGGGCGTGACAATTACCTTTTCCACGCCTCTTGCCCTCAGCTCTCATGTGGCACCTGGCCCGGTCTGGCATCGTCGATTGGGGCATTGTGGAAGTCGTGTGTTAGATAGGCTCAAGAAAAATGGTTCTATTTTAAGCACATCTAGTTTTTCTCATGACTGTATTTCATGTCGCTTAGGCAAATCCCAACGATTACCTTTTCAGGAAGTTTTTCATAAATCTACAGTACCTTTATATTTAATTCACTCAGATGTGTGGCAGTCTCCTGTTTTATCTGAATCTGGTTTTAAATATTATGTTCTATTTATTGATGATTTTTCTCGCTTTACTTGGTTGTATCCCATGCGCCGAAAAGATGAAGTCATTCACCATTTTCGAAATTTCAAAGTAATGGTGGAAAATTTGCTTGATCATAAGATTAAAATTTTTCAAAGTGATGGAGGGGGTGAGTTTGATAATTCTGGCATGCGGACTATTTTTCAACAAAATGGCATTCTGTTTAGGAAATCCTGTCCTGATACTCCTGAACAGAATGGTGTTTCTGAACGTAAACATCGTCATCTCTTAGAATTAGCCCGAACTATGCTTTTTGAAGCTCATTTACCTGCTAAATTCTGGGTTGATGCTGTTTACACCGCCACCTATATTATTAATCGCCTCCCTTCCCCGACCTTAAATGGATTATCTCCCTTTGAAAAATTATTTCTTCATCCACCAGACTTATCTTTTCTGCGTGTCTTTGGGTGTGCATGTTTTCCTAATTTTAATGCCACCTCTGCAAATAAGTTATCTCCTAGATCGGTACTGTGTGTTTTCTTAGGCTATGCGCCTGAATATAAAGGGTATCGTTGCTTGGATCCTAAAACTGGCAGAATATACATTAACCGGAATGTGTGTTTTCATGAAAACCATTTTCCCTATTCTGAGCTTGCCTCTTCGTCCACAAGTTCCTCCACCGTGGCACTAGACTGGGCTGGTGCGTCATCCTTGTCTTCGGCCACTGAAGCAACTCATACACCACCTTTCTCTTCTCTAAATATTTCCAGACCTTCTGCCCCTTTAATCGATTTTCATGACCAGCTTCTTCGGCCAACAGCCTCCCAGCCCACCACCACCAGCCCTACGACTCCTAGGTCTACTTCGACCAACAGCCAACCCAGTTCTCCTAGGCCACCCTCACCTCTAAACCACCAGGCCGACACCCCACCTGCTTCCCCAGAACCGCATACTTCCCCAGAACCCACTGCTGCCGCCGAAAACCCCCCTCCCACAAATCTTCATCCCATGCAAACTCGCTCTAAATCGGGAATTTTTAGGCCTAAACAGATTTTTACTTTAAAAACAGATATTGCGGCATGTGATCCTACTTGTTTTTCTCAGGCTAATAAAGATTTTAAATGGAGAGCGGCTATGGCCGAGGAATTTAATGCTCTTATCAGCAATAACACGTGGGAATTAGTTCCACCACGCGCTAGTCAGAATGTGGTTGGGTCGAAGTGGATTTATAAAACAAAATTTAATTCTGATGGTTCTATTGAGCGGTTTAAGGCACGTCTGGTAGCTCAAGGTTTTAATCAGCAGGCAGGTGTGGATTTTTCGGAAACATTTAGTCCTGTTGTTAAGCCCACGACAGTTCGTCTTGTTCTCACTTTAGCTATATCGTTTGGCTGGCAAATCCGTCAGTTGGACGTTAAAAATGCTTTTCTTCATGGTCATCTTACGGAGGAGGTATATATGCGTCAACCACCTGGATTTGTTCATCCTCAATTTCCTAATTATGTTTGTCGTCTACGTAAGGCAATTTATGGGCTTAAACAAGCACCTCGTGCATGGTTTTATCGTTTCAGTAGTTTCTTGTTAATGCATGGTTTTATTTGTAGTCGTTCAGATAATTCCTTTTTTATCTATAACCATGGCGGGAATATTATTTATTTGCTTCTTTATGTGGACGATATTATTCTCACAGGTAATTCCCCATCTTTCATCACTTCCTTTATTTCTCGCCTTGATAAATCATTTGCTATGAAAGATTTGGGTGACTTACATTTTTTTCTGGGGGTTCAGGCTTTTCACACCCCACGTGGTCTCTTTCTTTCACAACATAAATATGTGTCTGATCTGTTACTCCGCTTTCATCTCCATACTCTTAAACCAGTTCGTACTCCTCTCCCAACACGTACCAAGCTGTCTCTCACTGATGGAGATCTGTTAGCAGATCCGACGGAGTATAGGAGTATGATAGGTGCACTACAGTATTTAACCATGACTAGACCTGATATTACTTATGCTGTTCACCTGGTTTCCCAGTTTATGCATGCCCCTCGTACCACACATTTTTTGGCTGTTAAGCGCATTTTCAGGTATTTACAAGGCACAGCTGATTTCGGATTACTGCTTCAGCCGAGTTCTGCATCACCTACTATTCTTGCTTTTTCTGATGCTGATTGGGGAGGATGTCCGGACAGCAGCAGGTCTACGTCTGGATTTGCTATCTTTTTTGGTCCGAATTTGGTGTCCTGGAAGTCCAAGAAACAGCCTACGGTTTCCCGATCCTCTACAGAGGCAGAATATAGAGCAATTGCCTATGCTGTTCAAGATACTCTTCATGTCCGCTCTATATTATTTGAGTTGGGTGTCTCGATTGCTCATCCGGTTAAACTGTTATGTGATAATGTGTCTGCGTCTTATCTCTCTGCAAATCCTATTCAACATGCTCGCAGCAAACACATCAATATTGATTATCACTTTGTTCGTGAACGGGTGGCTCACGGTGATTTACAGGTCAAGTTTGTTCCTACTCAACTTCAGTTGGCAGACATCTTCACAAAGAGTCTCTCTCCGCAGCGTTTTATGTTTCTACGTGACAATCTGCGCATTGTTCCCCATGCACAGCTTGAGGGGGTGTAATAATGTATTTATTAATATTAATTAGGTTGTCTAATTATAGTAGGAATCTCAATGTATCTTTGACTCTTTTATTATAAATATATTTCCGGGGCTACCATTACGGTACGCTTCCTCATTATTCTCACAGTTACATACTGATTAAATACTAGTTACATAAATGCATACTGGTCCCATATTTGGTTCTTAATTTTTTCTACTTCAGTTCTAGTCCACACCATTTTCAACCCAAAAATGCTAATCTGAAGCAAATGGACCAAAATTGCATGAATGCACATTCATCCTCTACGTAATGCACCTTGACGTTCAAACTAATGCATATTGTTTGGTGACGAAATTGCACACACTTTATCCTTTTGTAATGCATCTTCACGCTCAACGTGATGCATATTATGAAGTGATTTTTTTTATTACTCGTATTATTTACCAAAATGTCACTAATAAGCGTCATAAATAGACTTGTTTTACACGTGTAATTATACGCAGCTGGAGTAGGAAAGAAAACAAATTACACAGATATGACAAACATCAATTACGGTTAAAAAGAAATGATAAATAGGTCGCAAGTCAAGAGAAGTCAAAACTCGACACTTTTGAGTCATTCAAAGGGATAAAAAGAGGAGGAAAAGGGAAGAGTTTGCATGAATTACAATTCGAGTGCTGGGCATAGGCCGAAACCGGTGTCGGATTTTGATAATTATATTCAACGAGAGAAAGATTGCATATAATGTCTTGAATGAATCGGCACTATGCCCACCCCGGCACCCCATATATGGTGCTGGAGGAACTCATGTCTTGAATGAGTGTCCGAGGCTAAGTCCTTAGCTAAGGCTTTGAGACAAATATCTACACTAGCTATTTTCAAGTTATTATGGTTTATTCTTCTAAAGTTTAACTATTTTATATGTTACTCCGTATGAAATATAAGAATATAATTTATGTTGAAATTGTTGGAAATCAATTAATTAAATAATTATTGATTTAATAAGATTAATTTTAGAAATGTTGAGTTGGCTTAGAATTAAGGTTTATATTGTTTGTGTTTATAAGCAATTAGGTAACTCAATAAGTTGCCAAATTGTTTATTACATAGGCCTGTATATATGGTTCTACATATTACTACGTAATATTGATAATGAGAAGAGTTCTCTCCTCCTAATACAAATCATGTGAGTGCGTGAGTTTTTATCTGGCAAGACGGCGAACATCTCTGGTGATAGAATATATTTATTCCCAACAAAATGGAATCAGAGCCGCCCATTTCGATGAGCCGTGATGATGGTTGGTAACATGTTGTGACTCTCGGTACTCAAACTTGAGAAGGGCGAGTACGACCGGTGGAGCTTACAGATGAAAACTAAACGCTACATGGTGCGCAAGGCTTGTGGGATATTGTTGAGGAAGGCTATGAAGAGCCGGCTGAGAATGCTGGACAAACTTCTGCACAACGGAAGGAACAGAAGAAGGCTAAACAATAGGACAAGATGGCACTTCACTAGATATTTCAGCGACTGGACACATTCAAATTTTAAAAAACTGCGGATTGCAAAACCTCGAAGAAAGCGTGGGACACGTTGGAGAAGATCTACCGAGGAGTAGACGAGGTGAAACAAGCCCGGTTGCAGATCCTTCGGGGAGAACTGTAACCCACACGCGCGAATGAAAGATAACGAGTCTATAGGCGAATACATCAGATCATGTGTTGCCGAAATCACGAGGCCGTGAAAGAGAGCACACTGGTCGAGAAGATCCTAAGAACCCTAACGTATTCCTATGAAAGAATTGTTTGTGCCATCGAGGAGGCGAGAATATTGGAAGATATGACTCTGGAAGAGCCCACATGGTCATTGGATGTGCATAAGCATAGACGAATTAACAGATAGGAGACACTCGATGAAGCACTACAGAGCAAAACTACAATCAAAGATGAAACGCACGAGCAAACTCAACATACCCGGGGCCGAGGTCGTGGTTGCAGAGAGCAGAGACAGGATGCTCTGGGCGACTAGCTACATCCTAACAAAAGAGGTCAAGGTAGAGGTCAAGGAGGTTGCGGAAACCGGCCAGATGGCGAATGATATAAGTGCGGAAAACGTGGTCACTCTGCACGTGACTGCTGGTCAGAGAAAACAACCGAGGAGAAAGAAAGCATCATCGAGTAGGAGATCAGCGGGAATGAAGAAGGCGTGCTGTTAATGGCACACGGAGGGGGAATGACCGGTAGTGATGCATCATGGTACCTTGATACGGGTGCGAGCAATTACATGACCGGGCATGAACACCTATACACAAAGATGGAAGAGATCTGAGGTGGATATGTCTCATTTGCAGATGCATTCAAAGTCG